TATTGCATATATACATATATATATTATATTTTATATCACCTTAATTTAGGTTATTTCTTAATAGATTAGTGCACGTGCGCATTTTAAACGAGTATGTGAAATGCTCCTAGGCGTTATGTGGATAAATAAACTATTATTATTATTATTTTTATTATTCGCTAGCGTCGGATGCTCCAGTGTCCCTCTTCAGCGTGTCGATGCAGGTTGTATTTGTTCTACCTCGACCCCGATGTCCATGAGTGGGCTCCCATTGCACTAGTTTCTTAGCACTCAATTCTGGATGGCGATAGCAATGGCCAGGCAGTTGTAGTCTGCGTGAAGCAATTTTGTCACTGACTGCCGGTAACTCACCATAAAGCTGTTGGTTCGAAGTATGGCTGCTCCAGTGGATGTGTAATGCCTTCTGCAGCATTCTAGTATATGTCCCATTCAGCGACTTTTCTTAAGCTTTCGACAAGGACCAACTCTCGATCACACCCATATAGTAGGATTGATTTGATGGTGGCTGTGAAGAGTCTGATTTTCAATTCTCTACTCATATTGGACTTCCAAATATCCATCATACAATTGAGAGCTTTCCACGCCTGTGCTTTTCTTAGGCTGATGTCTTTCTCTGAGCTATCAACCCATGACCCTAAATATTTGAAGTCGTCTTTCCGTTTGAGTTCAGTGCCATCTGTTGTATGTAATGATTTAGGATCCTCAATATTGTAAGCTAGTGATTTTGTTTTCTTAGCATTCAGACCAAGACCTACTTTCCTGCATTCCTTTTCTACACCTAGCAGCAATTCCTGGGCTTGTTCAATCTCATCAGATAGTAGCACTATATCGTCTGCAAAGTCCAAGCAGCCAGAACTTCTTTAGGATGTCTTCTAGATCCAAGGGCGGATCCAGCCAAAATTTTAGGGGGGGAGCTAACTGAGTTTAGGGGGGGCTAATTGAGTTTCTTCCGTCAACACAACGCAAAACAATATAAAAAAGCATCCTTTTTTCTGCTGAAGGGGAGGGGAGGGCTTCAGCCCCCTTTGCCCCCCCCCCCCCCTGGATCCGCCCTTGAGATCTTCGGGGGGGTGATAGTAACCCAGATCTTCCTCATTCCCTGCCATAGCCTTTCTCATAGCATAATCTAGCACGATTATAAACAGAAAAGGAGCTAGTGTATCACCCTGCAGTACACCAGCTGTGATGTCAAACATCTATGTTTCTCCGTCCGGTGAGATCACTTTGGTCTTTGTGTTCGTATACATTTTCTCAATTGCTTGCAGTAGGTTTGGCGAGATCCCATAAGCTTTTAGAATACGCATCATTTTACCTCGATGTATTGAGTCAAAAGCTTTCTTGAAATCAATGAAGGTCATGACAGCCTTGATGTTATTAGCTTTAACTCTTCAATTATTCTTCTAATTTATTTGGGCCACTGTAGATCTTTTGGGACGGAAACCATTCTGGTTTACTCTGAGTCGGATATTAATTACACTCCTGATTCGGTTTAGTATCATGCGATTGTACATTTTGGCTATTTTGCAAATCAGCCTGATTCCCCTGTAGTTATCAGTCTTTGACAAGTCCCCAGATTTTGGATGATATTCATAAAGGACCATAGGTCAGGTTTGTCATTCTTAATCAGAGCTTGATTGCAGAAGTCTAGACATATGTCGTCGAACTTGAATACTTCAGGTGGTATGTCATCTGGGCCAGCTGCTTTCCCGGTTTTTAGTGAATATTTCACTTTTCTAAACTCTTCTATGGAGAACAAGTTGTCATTGATCTCAAGGTCCTCAAAGATGCTTGGAACTTCCTCATCTGGGTCCTCTACTTCTGGAGGGTTACCAAGGAGCTTCCTGAAATGGGAGAACCATGTGCTCACTCCTTACTCAGGGCTTGACCTTCTTTAGCCTTTTTCCTTCCAGTAATCTCATTCACTGTCTTCCATGCCTCACCATATTCCTGAGCACCATGCGCAGCTTCGATATTCTGAATTTGAGTCTCAAGTTCTACCTCTCTCTCCTGATCATACACGTGGTATAAATTTCTTAGTGCTTGAGGCCAGGCTTCTTTATCCTCTTCAGTAATGGTATTTCCATACTGACTCTGCGCCACCAGTGCTTCTTGACGGGCTGCTACCACTCGTGCGTTTGATGACCTGAGGGATTTCTTTGTTTTTGTTTTCCTGGGCAGGCATTCTTCCATAGCTTGTCTGTTGGCTTTGAAAAATTTATCTTACTTATCCCCATTACTATTTTCTTCCAGTACCTGGAATCTGTTTTTGACAGCAACTGTGTATTTCCGCTGTAGTTCTGGGTCAGTAGAAAACTGCCGCCAATCATATTTCATCTTCTTGTCTACTTTAGATGTCCTGTGGCTCAGCCTGATTTTAGCACATACTACCCGGTGGTCTGATCCTACTGTGCTGAACGTGTTTTAAGCTTCAGCATCCTGAACGCTGCTCCTCCACTTTCGACGAACTAGAATGTAGTCCAGTTGCCGTAATGAGTCTGATGCCCTGTCTTTGAAGGTCCACAGTTTTCCTGGACGCTTCTGAAACTGTGTGTTAGCTGCTATCAGGCAGTACTCAGATAATAATTCTACGAGATACTCTCCATTCCTGTTCGTTTTGTCATGATATGTGAATGGTACGTCGACTGGCCCTAGTCTTGCATTAAAATCTCCCATACATGCAAGGAAGTTATGTGCCGGGACATCCTAAAGAGTGTTTCTCAGGTCGTTGTAAAATTCCTCGACTTCTTCTTCATCTGCACAGTTGGTAGGTGAATATACGACGATCAATGTTGTTTTAGGATTGCCGTCAAATTCAGCGATCATGATTCTTTTACTGATACTCTTGGCTTTTAGCAGGGCTTTTCTTGCTTTCTGACCTAACAGTAGTCCAACTCCACCTTGGGAAGCTTGTTTTTCATTTCTCCAACCTGAGGATGTTATAAAGTAACTGGTACCGATTTTTCTGAACTCAACGGGGTCATTATGGATGATACGATGCTCATGTACTCCCAGTATTTCAATGCCTAGGTGATGATTGCATTGCTCTAGTTCCAAGGCTCTGTCTTCATCTCTTAAGGTGTTTACGTTGTATGTCCCCATGTATAAAGATTTATTACAACGCAGGGGGCCTGCATACATCTGCTATTCTCAAACGCTTCCCCCCGTGAAACCCGGTTTGTGGATGCGTCGTCATTCTGTTGTTCTGGAGATCGACTAGCTTCAGTATTGCTGGCTGAGTTCCTGCTCACTCCCGGAGCTGGAAGTATAGGATTTGCTCTATCTGGGGAATCCATAGTGGTTGTCTAACAAAGCTATTAACTCACACCGGACGCCACGCCTCAAGTAAATACTGTGGGCCGATTTGGAATAAAATCCTTCCTTCGCCCCCATTTTATGACACAGGCAGCGTCAGTAGCTTCTTCCTCTAACAAGAGAATAACGTAAGAAGCACTACCCTTTGCCAGAACTGCAGCCGTGTTGACTAGCAGAACTGCTGGTGGGTGTTCACCATGCTTGTTAGCATACACGCCGTAACCCCGGCAAGGGAGGCTAAGGGTGTACTGACACTTGCCAAGGTGAGCACCCAGACTAGTGGAGAGAAGGAGGCGTCTTGCTTCTCCATTCTAGAACGGCTCCTAGCAAAGTCTAGCCACTGCCCTAAAAACATGTTTTCTTAAATGTTTCCAAAGGTGGCAAAACTGTCAGGGAACATCGGGAAACATGTTTACTCAATAGCACAGCATTAACATTTTTGCATCTTGAAAGTAAAATTTGTTGCACGTAGCAATGTTTCGCATGTGGCTAAACTTGGAATCATCGGGGAACATGCGCGCGGGAAACATGTTTCTGGAAACTTGTTTCCTCGTTTAACCAGGGCCTTATTTCATAATAAGGATACATTTAGATTTAACTAGTGTCACGTGGTCATCTTTCAACCAATGATAGTCCTCGTTATATCGGAAAATTTCGTAGCTACACACCGAATCGAAAAATGGCGACCAATTTGAATAACTATTGTTCTGTACTGACTAGCGACTGACTAGCCTCTCATACATGTGAAAACGCTTTTATGTTTCCACGTGAACACGAGGCTAGTCAGTCGCTTGTCAGTCCGGAACAATAGTTATTCAAATTGGTCCGCGCCATATTTCGATTCGGTGTATATAACAAAACTACCGTAGTTAAATTAGGCAACATGTAGCCCTAGCTGTGTCTCGGTACCGTATAGTCATTTCAAAATAACACATCTCTATCCCGATAATAATCAATATAAGAGTCAAGGAATATTTAATTTATGGCTTTAACTCTCGGATCAATTCTCGTCCAAATCACTTCATAGTTTTACTGACAATAAAAGAATGATTTGACAGAAGATATAGGCAACTATATAGATGATTTTATTATATCCTTACTTATGTTATTGATTTTATTGACTTTATCCACATACATACTCCGATAATGACACACAGATAATAAGCTTGAGCTGCTAGGTAAATATCAAAGATGGCGGCGTATACAAAAAGCCGTCAATAAGCCTCAAGCATGATGACGGTTATTAACTACACTTCCAGAATCCCTTTCGGTAACATTTTTTGTTATGTCAATTTTCCCTATATCTTAGTATTTTCAAAGGAGTTTTGACATTTGAATATGAAAAGATATTTTGAAAAGGAATGTGGTAGTTTAGGTATGAAACGTCATTAGGATTAGGGTCTATTATTTGTATCACCCGCCATATTTTTTTCCTTATGAACGAGCGCGATTTTTAAGGTGGCTGCCTACTGAACGTTCGATTTGAGCCCACGACTTAGTTTGCGCGCGCTCCAAAAAAGCTGAATAAGGTACAGTTCAGACGTCGAACTTTAGCAGTGTCGAATCTAATTGCCTTTGAGGCAAGCAGCTAAGAAAACGCCGAGAACTTAGCTCGTTTGCTTAGCGTTAGGTCATTCTGGTATACATTCTTCTAATAAAATTGAAATTCTAATAAAATTTTGAAGGTTATTCAGCGGTTTTCGTGCGCGCGCACATCGTGGGTTCAAACCGAACATTCAAAAGTAGACAGTCACTAGTACCTTAAGAGCTGATTATCTCGAAAACAAGCTCTGGATACCCCATTTTTCTTTTCATATTTGAAATCAGCATTACATTTCTCTTTAAGGCGAATCCAACATAATTGTGAATTCAACATAAAGACGTATCGCGTCAATAACAATCGAATATTTTCTTTTGAATTTAGGACATATAGTGGCTTAAACATTTAGGATTTTTAACGATGTATTCGAAATATTATTTTTGAGTCGCGTTTGCCGTTGCGGGCCGGTTTTCTAACAGTTGTTTTTCACAATATTAACCTCCTGCTCGCCTAAAAATCGATCGGTTTTCATGAAACTTCAGATTACAAAATTAACTTGGTTTATAGAGGATAACACTTGACAGTAATYCAACTAATAAGTCGTGGTCCTCTTTTAATATCTATAGATCTATATATATTACGCATGTCCCGCATGTTCTTTTAATATCTATAGTTAATTAGGGACGGGACCRCCATTTATAACGTGGTCATSCGATCCACGTGAAGGTCTAACCATTTGCAGATATTATTACAAAGGCAGCACCTTCTCCTCAGTTATTTAAGACCCTGAGTGTTGGTCCTGCCGAGGCTTGAACCAAGACCTGCCGACGCTCTTACCAACTGAGCTAACCGGGTGGCGGTCATATTCGTTGTAAATATAATCATTGTCTGCCGAAAATCTATCGAGCGCAAGTAGTTGTTCGGCAAAATAGTCCAAAAAAAATAGCATTAGTAAAATGTGCTAGATAGATTTTCTCCAAATTCGGCCGGCAGAATTATGAACATCTATTTACTAGGAATCTGCATGAAGTTATCCCGATGTTGTGATTATAAGCATGGGTCTAACGGATAAGTAGTTGATGTTGTCTGAAGGGAACGAATAAGTTCCAATCTTACATCAGACTTTCTTTGAATCACTCATTTTAGACGCAGAGGAAAAACATGGAAGAACATCTTGAAAAGAAAATCAAAGAACATCTTGTTTTGACACAAGACGAGAACGAGAAATTAAAGAAGACACTCGCCCAGATAAAAGAACAAGTTGGTCGTTGTACAAATAAATTCATTTGGAAAATAAACAATTTTACCGATGACTTAGAAAAGGCTAAACAACCTGGAGAGGGACATCTTATGTACAGTGATCCATTATATACTGACAAGTATGGATACAAAATGAGGGTTATACTGTACCCCAATGGAGACAGGGATGACGCCACTGGACATGTGTCAATATTTATTCAGCTACTGAGAGGTGAATACGATGCAGTATTACCCTGGCCTTTTGCAAGGAAGATAACCATCACTCTGTTGGATCAGAAAGAAGACTTACAAGAAAGAAAGAATGTGGAAAAGACTACAAGCTACAAGGGCATGTTAAACAACTCAGAAGCCTTCAATAGACCAACTACAGATTCAAATACTGGACTTGGCTACAAGAAGTTTATATCACACGAGGAATTGATGACCGAAAACTACATCGTTGATGATACGATCTTCTTACAAGTAGAAGTGGGAGAAGAATACACTGGAACTGAATAACTAGAGTCTAATAGACCCAGTCAGCTGCCATAATGTGACGGTCGTTACTTAGATGGTGACTGGTACTAACTAATAGAGATATCATCACTTCTCATCATGCCGATAAGATAGGGTGAATACTAAATATTCATTTTTATTTGATAAATAATGTTTTTTTGATTACCCACTATGTAATGTATCGATTTGCAATAACTGTTGATAGTAGAATAGTGTCAGTAGGGCGTTGATAAACATTGTCTTTATTATGGATTTGATTTACTG